AGGGACCGGCCTGCCGTTAGATATTTTAAAGAATTTCCAATTTTCCATTGCGCGAAATAAAATTTCAAAAAATTTAAACACGGGGGGGGTTATATATATTGAAATATTGCACCCTTTTAAAGATCATCAGTTGAGGCTGCACTCAGGAGGCATACCCTGTGGGAACCTCTGGAAATCGGAACAGTAGTTGTAGATCATGTAATGATCCTGGACCCACTTCATCTGTCCGAACTGATCCGAACTGGGCGTCGTCCACATCCAGGAATCGCTGCCGGGATTGCAAGGGACGGGCCAGCTCCAGACGTCGGTCCTTCCGCACGAGTCACCGTCGTTGAAGTTTCGGTAGGACGCGCTGAACGGCGCGTTGGACCAGTCGATCTTGACTCGACCGCCCTGTGTTGCCCAGTCATCTGCGTCCCACAGGCTCGAATATATCCTCATCGGTTGGCTCTTCGGATACGCAACTCCCTCCGCCTCGTGATTCTTGAACACCCTTATGAGGATTCCGTCCACCATGAACCTTCATCCCCAAGAAAACGCACGAAACCAGACAAGAATCGTCATGAAACCGATTGACAAGAATCGTGTCTAAACTGCGTACAAATGTTCATGAAATCATTGCGGATAATAATAAGAAAAGGGACGCTGACATGATGTTGAGAGGGTTCCAGAGGACGGTGTAGGTGTGGAAATCGGCGGTGGGGTCAAACCAAAGGTAGAACTGCATTTCTCGGTTGCCTTTGCCTTGTGTGAATACGTTCGTATGAAGAACGTATGGTTGGCCGGTGACGTTTCCCAAGAACTCGAAGTCTATCTCATCCCATTGCTCCCCTTTCGATGACAACTGCGCCATTATATGAAACATTCACTTGTTCATCAGATCCTGTAATTCTTCTCTTATACTGAGGATTTTGGTCACGTTAATGCGAAGAATTGTAGTTTACGTACGTAGTATGCGGTGACGGTGCCGGCGGAATTTCCGGCGACAAGCTTGAGCTGCATGTCGATCTTTCCGAATAAATACTCCTTCTTCGACTGAAAACCCGATCCGGAGATCTTGTCGAGTGTGCAAGTCAGAAGCTGTCCGGCCTCGAAAATGCTGGCCCGACCGTCTCCCCAAGTGATATCAAAGCTGTCGTAGAAGTTTCCGGCGGAGGCCGTGGCCGCCAAGATTCCGGCGAACAGGAGAGACAACGCAAAAGCAGCCATTTTGGTCGGAATATGTGTTGTTTCTTCTGTCTCGGGAGATAGATATATCCAGATGGGTCGGAGATCGTTGTATATATAGAGAGTTTCCAAGGGTATAATTTGTGTTTATGGAGCCCCATTAACTACGTGGCCCTCCTATACGTTTAAGAATTGACTTGTGTAACCTGGACACGGTTCAGCGTTAGACTATGTCGCCCAACTCTACATTATTTGTGTAGTCCGAAAAGGAATCTCTATTTTATACGATAAGTTTATTCACCGGAAGTGGTTAATTGTTTAATTAAAAAGAAGTTTTGATTCCATCACATGAAAATAGTTAAGATAATTCTCTAATTTGTAGATTTTCCCATGAAAACAGAGTTCAAACAATTATTTATATTATATCGGGAAATCATCATATCTGTTTAATCACTTCTAAAATACGAATTACTCCTAAAATCGGGGGACCTCAAGAAATATACAAAATCTTGCAAAACTTCAATGATCAACCATATGAAAGGGTGGAAATCAGAATTCATTTCTAAGAAATAATGGTACATGAAAACATAATTGTTGAGATTTAGTTAACAACAAATAAATAAAAAATAATTGTTGAGATTTACCATTCAGTGAATTTGTTGGAAATTTTTTGATAGATTAAATTTAACCATAGCAAATAAAATAATACAAAGATATTATAAGAAATGTAAATCTAAAAATTGGGGATATTAGAATATACAGCAAAAATGTGATTGCTGTAGTCGTTCCGTAGGAAAATAAAATGTACTCCAATACGGGAATTTAAAAAGGATTAAATAAATATCCTGTAATATATAATAAGAAAGGACTCGCTGGTTGAATACATAACAAACTACACAGTTGATGCACAAAGAATTATTTATGCGACTATGCATATCACTACCCAATCTTAGCAAATATTTACTCTAACACAAATTGAACGTATCATTGCAAACGAATTTGATCGAAACCATCTGGATAAAACAAAGTATAGCATTTTCCAAAACCGCATATACATTTTTTTATTCATTAATATGTATATTTGACACAAGGGCATTCTGGAACCTAATTAATCCCTAAGTAATATGTTACATATTAGAAAAACACACTAATATTATCACAAACCCATCTTTCAAAGACAACCTACGCAACTGTATCTAGCGGATACTGCATTCCTTGGGGAAGCCATTGGGAAACCTCTTCGAGTCCGTACAGTAGTTATAAACCATGAAGTTCCTCTGCATCGTTCGCATCTTGTGCTCTGCATTGAGGTCCAGCCTGTGCGTGAACCACCGGGGCCGCCGGCCCGAGCGACACGACGATTTCCCGATCGCCGGAACGCAGGTTTTGGCTCTGAAGTTCCGGTAAGAGGCGGTGAAGGGAGAGTGGGACCAGTCGGTCTTTATCAGACCGCCCCTTGTCGCCCATTGGTCGGCGTTCCAGAGGCTCGAGTAGAGCCTCATCGGCTGTGTCCGAGGGAAGGGGATTCCTACGTGTTCTAAGTTCTTGAACTCTCGTATCGGAGTTCCATCCACCGAAAAGCTGCATCACACGTATAGAGACAAATGATTAAGAGACGTTCTAACATGATTTTCAGCTATCAATTTAAACTATGTAATAACTTGAGAACTCACACGATGTGGTAAGGGTTCCAAAGAACAGAATAGGTGTGGAAATCTGAGGTGGGGTCGAACCAGAGTTTGAACTGCTGTTCTCTGTCGCCTTTCCCTTGCGAGTACACATTCGTGTGCATAGTGTACGGGTCACCCGTTATATTTCCCAGAAACTCGAAGTCGATCTCGTCCCACGACGATCCTCCCGACTTCAGCTGCATCCATTCACAACACCCTTCAGTCCTTTTTTTTTTTAATTCCTATACATATTTTTATATATAAATATATAAGATCATACATAATAAGCGGTAACGGTTCCGGCAGAGTTTCCGGGGACGAGTTTGAGCTGCATATGGATATTTCCGAACAAATACTCCCTCTTGGACTGAAACCCCGACCCCGAGAATCTGTCGAGGGACAGTGTCAGAAGATCTCCGTTGTTGAGGAACTTACCTCGACCACTGCCCCAGGTGATGTCGAACTCTCCGTCGAACGTGCCGCCGGAAACGGCCGTTAACGGGGAGAGAACGGAGACAAGAAGAAGAGAGACGGCGAGAGAGGAAGGAGCCATGTGTAGGGATGAGATGAATGAATGGGATGGGAGTGAAGGTATAAGTAGAGGGAGAAGAGACGGCGTCTGTTGGACGTTAGTGAAATGGGTTTGGGAACAGCTGGAGAACGGCTGTGAGGCAACCTGCTGCTTTGTGTTATCTTAGCGAAAGCACTCGTGGTCGGCCTCCCCCGGCTTCCATCTGCTCTGTCTGTCCCTTTTGCTCTCCTGCGGTCATTATCCAAATGTTTTTTTTCTTCTTTTGTTCCCTTTTGACATAAAAGCATTCGGTGCTTGTAATTCGGATTTTTGGCATTGAATATGATGATATTGTCTTTCCACTTTGTGCATTTATTATTTATGACTGACTTTTATTTCCAATTAACGTTCGTATACGCCACAAGCGAAAACAATTACGCAGTAAAAGCCGTAAGATATTTGTTTCCTTGCAGAACTATGACGTTTGTGCTACCTGATATGTTATCGCCACGTAATGGAGAAAGTGAACAACAAAGGGCTTGGAGCCCATTGTCGAGCTTGTTCATAGCCCATTAGGACAGCTCATGGGGTCTCATGATCCGACAAAAACGAAACAGATAAACCGAAAGAATGTTATTCATGACAACTCGTTGCTGAAGATTCACATCGAACCAACAAAACAAAATTTGGTCCGACGAGACAGTAAATATCACGATATACAACAAACAAAAGAATAAATTTTAATTTGTTTTAAATCTCTACGCTGCCATGCATTCCTTTGGGAGACCCTGAGGGAACCTCTGGGTGTCCGTACAGTAGTTGTAGATCATGTAGTTCCTCTCAACCCATCTCATCCGTTCTTGACCGGCCGTGTCCAGTTCTTGAGACAACCACGAGCCGCCTGTCCCCTGGCTCGAGCCGTTCGGACAGGACGACTTTCCGTTGGACCAGACGCATGCGTCCTCGTTGAAGCCACGGTACGAGGCCGTGAAGGGAGCCTGTGACCAGTCCGTCTTCACCAGACCGCCCCTCGTGGCCCAGTCGTCGGCGTTCCATAGACTCGAGTACATCCTCATCGGCTGGCTCTTCGGAAACAGAACACCTTGAGACTCCATGTTCTTGAATTCTCTGATCGGAGTCCCGTCCACAGAGAATCTGTCATTCATCGAATTCAGACGAAAGGGAGGATTAGAACGTGTTACATTCTTGAACATAGAATCGAGTTATCCGAGGAATTATACTTACATGATGCGTTGGGGGTTCCACGTGATGGAGTAAGAGTGAAAATCTGATGTCGGGTCGAACCAGAGTTTGAACTGCTGTTCGCGGTTGCCCTTTCCTTGTGTGAAGACATTAGTGTGGAGAGTGTAAGGATCGCCACTGAGATTGCCCAAGAACTCGAAATCGATCTCGTCCCACGTTGATCCAGGTGACTTCAACTGCATGAAAGAAACACACAATATTCAAAACCCATTCGTCAAATCATTCAGCATCATCGTGCAAAGCTTCTGAAACGAAAAAGGTTAACCTGAAAAGTCACTTACATAGTAGGCGGTGACTGTTCCGGCGGAGTTTCCGGCGACAAGCTTGATCTGCATGTCGATTTTGCCGAACAAGAACTCGTTCTTGGACTGAAATCCGGAGCCGGAGGGCTTGTCGAGGGACAGAGTAAGAAGCTCGCCGTTGTTCTTGATCTGCCCGCGTCCGTCTCCCCACGTGATCTCCACATTTCGGTAGAAATTAGCCGAAACAGAGGAAACGAGCAGACCGGCGAGGATAACAGAAAGTGGCAGCATTGAAGAAGAAGAACAAGAGATCGCCATTGCAGTTCGCATGCAAGTTTCCTTTTCTGGGTTTTTATTCAGGTTCTTGGTGAATTTGTGTGGTTAGGGTTGAAGTGTGAGTGAGTATGAAATTGGTGTATAAATAGGCGGCCGAAGAGGGAGGAAGGTTCTTGTGAAATATGGAGGGGGTGGCCAAAAACGCGGAGCCTAGTGGTCGAACCGAACAGCTGGAAAAACCATTGCTGAGCTGTCTTCAGCTGGAACCGAACAGCTGGTGTTTTTCTTTTGATCTTTTTTTTTTTAATTGTTCTTTTGAATTTGGGAGGTGCATCCTGTGGGCCCGACAGCGAGGCTTTAATTTTCTCCTGGTACGGTTTTTTTACAACGGCCCATAAGGTTAGAGTCCGTCGATATTTTCTCCATCTTATATTATATAGATTTGAATTTAAGATTGATGCGAAAAATTTAAATACGTTCTCCCAACTCTCTCTCTCTCTCTCTCTCTCTCTCTTAGGAAATAAAAATCGAATGTTTTAGACTATTTAGAAACCCGAAAAAGTATATCGCGGGTTAAAATATTTTATTTAATCTTAATGTGTCTAGCAGAGGTGGATCTATTTGCATATTAATGGAGTTATAGGCCCACAATTGTGCAATTAAATTTTTAAATTTTTTTTATTAATTTTATAAAATCTTAAATAAAATTATATCATACCTCATAATAAATATTTAAGAAAAACTCTTAAAAATTCTAAAACTTACAATTTGGTGAAAAAATAATTCCTATATTTTTTAATGTCTCTAATTATTTTTACACTTAATAATTTCTAAAGTTGTTTAAAAGTGTTATATTGATCTTTAAGTTGATCAAAATAATATTGTTATAAAATTTTACGTGGCACGTAAGATATCAAAACACATCATAATTTTATACTATATATGCATAATCGAATTTAATAAATTCAGTTTAATAAAATCCGTTCGAATCGGGTTTAATAAGCTCACGCATTACATCGAACTTTTACAGGCATTACGTCGAATAAAATATTGTTATTTTGAACCGATTTTATTAAACTGTATTTATTAAATCTGGTTCTAAATACATAATACAAAATACTGATATATCTTGATATCTTAACTATGATTTTATAATAATATTATTATGATCAATTTATGTTAAGGATCATGATACTTTTAAATAATTTTAGAAATTATTTTTTTAGGAAATTGAAAGCTTGATAATTTTTAAGAATTTTTAACTTTTATAATAAAATTATTATGTGAACAAACCTATCTGAACCTAATTTGATGTGCGTGTTTAGTGGCCAGGATTATTCTATTGTCTTATATGTCAATGTGTAAGATTGCAAGATTTCGACGTGGTTTTAGTTGAATCTAGATAGTCGTTAAACTACAGCATAAGCAAGATTTGTTGGCTTTCCACAATGATGTGGCAAAATAAATAACACACGCCTTTAATGTTTTCATTAACAATGATATCACTTCGTATATTGTACATATAGCTCGGAAAATATACCATATACATCAAATTAAAGAATAGAGTACTAAATTAAATTTGTCCGTATCTATGCGGCCGTGCATTCTCGTGGAACACCCTGAGGGAACCTCTTGGTGTCCGCACAGTAGTTGTAGATCATGAAGTTCCTCTGCACCCATCTCATCCGTTCTTGACCGGTCGTGTCCAGTTCTTGAGACAACCACGAGCCGCTTGTCCCCTGGCTCGAGCCGTTCGGACAGGTGGACTTGCCGTTGGACCAGACGCATGCGTCCTCGTTGAAGCCACGGTAAGAGGCCGTGAAGGGAGCCTGTGACCAGTCGGTCTTCACCAGACCACCCCTCGTGGCCCAGTCGTCGGCGTTCCATAGACTCGAGTACATCCTCATCGGCTGGCTCTTCGGGAACAGAACACCTTGAGATTCCATGTTCTTGAATTCTCTGATCGGAGTCCCGTCCACAGAGAATCTGTAATAATCGAATCAAGGAGGATTAGAAAGTGTTACATTATTGGATACAGAATCGAGTGATAGACGAGGCATAACACTAACATGATGCGTTGAGGGTTCCACAGGATGGAGTAAGTGTGGAAATCTGATGTCGGGTCGAACCAGAGTTTAAACTGCTGTTCTCGGTTGCCCTTTCCCTGAGTGAAGACGTTAGTGTGGAGAGTGTAAGGATCGCCACTGAGATTGCCCAAGAACTCGAAATCGATCTCATCCCATGTTGATCCTGGCGATTTCAACTGCATGCACGAAAAGAACACACGATATTCAAAACCCATTCAGAAAAATATTCTCTCTCTCTATATATATATGGCGAAACGTCTCTTTGTGCGCGTCGAAAGAGACTTACGTAGTAGGCAGTGACGGTCCCTGCGGAGTTGCCGGGGACGAGCTTGATCTGCATGTCGATTTTTCCGAACAAATACTCGTTCTTGGATTGAAAGCCAGAGCCAGAGGCCCTATCGAGAGAAAGAGTAAGAAGCTCCCCGTTGTTATTGATCTGTCCACGTCCGTCTCCCCACGTTATCTCCACGTTCTGGTAGAAATTCGCATGAACAGACGACAAAAGCACACCAGCTACGAGCAGTGGAAGCAGTAGCATTTGACGAGAAGAAGAAGAGATCGCCATTGTTGATCGATAGTGAGTTTCTCTACGTGGGTGTGTTTGGGTGGTTGATGAATGGATTTGGCAATGGGGTTTCTGGGTATATATACGCGCACGCAGGACATGAGGAGAAAGGCGGTGGCATAGGAAGGTTCGTACGGAGATGTGGGTTTGGTGAAGAGATCCAACAGCTGGAAAATGCAAAAGTGATGATATTATTGGACTTGGAATTCGAGACGCGGTTTTGGTATGTCTGCGCTTTCTCTTTTTTATTATATATAAATAAATAAATATTTTATTTTACAGCCTTTGGAAAGTGCAGTGTTTGCTTCTTCGGACCGACACTGGACCGGTCAACCATTTTTTGTGAACTATCATGTGACATTTGTTATCCATTAAATAACAGGGATGGCTTATTGAAAAGGATATCGATGGTTTTCCATGGGGCATTAAAACATTGAATGGTCATATGGTTATGGCAGAAGCTAAATTGATGATTTGACCATCTCTGTGGTTCTTTGGATTCCAGCTAAGTTAAGAGTGACGGTGGTGATGGGGAAGTTTCATATTTCAAGGGTTCGAAGATAAAACACGTCAAGATAGGAGTACTGCATTAATTATTACTTTCTAGGCATATCTAACTTCTACATTTTTCATCTAAATTCCATTTCCTACTAGTCAAAATCATATATATTATTTGGAATTACGTCATCACATATTGATTTATATATATTTGAAAGTGTATGATATGGAGGTTAATTTATATTATATTACAATATGATTTGCTGTATTAATGGGATATTAACATTGATGCATCAAATATTGGGTTTTTTCATCTACTTTAATAAAGTTTAAAGAATTTGCGCGTTCTTTTTACAAGACTGAGGGGTATATACGTCTTTTAATACCAGAGGTTGGGTCGACGACCCGCCAGGAGAAACGCATTACGTTGGGCTATTATTGGGCCTTTGTTTTAGTGCTTGAAATATCTGCATTGGGCCCAATACGAGTCTTTTATTGGGCTTGAAAGTGAAGCCCATGCTGTTATCTTGGAGGGCAACCGAGAGAATGAAAACAAGGAAGAAGAAAAGCTGTCTTGCTGGAAGGTTTAGCCAGTAGCAGTCGGCTCACCTGGTAAAGATTATTTGATTGAGGTCTTGTTTTGCTGTTTGAGTTTCATATTTCTCCACGCTCGTGTACTTTCGCTCCCGCGGCATTTCAATCTCTAGATTCAATCGGATTCCGAGGTTTTCTTCTTCTTTTTCATTTTGTGTTGTCGATGCATTTCTGATCCACTTATGGTTTTTATCAACTAAATTTGGGAGTCGAATCGATTGAAATGGTGCTAATATGCCCTATGCACCTCGGAGCATTTTAAGTAGAGTATATGACATCTGTTCTGTATATGATTAGAGGATGAACAGATCAATCGTAGGGATCGTGGCATATACACTAGAATTTCGCGAAATGAGTAGTAGTTTTACTAATTTATAGACGCCCTTGCATCATTTCATTGATCCAAACTATATGCTATTGAATCATGCGTAACTAGGCATTGATGTTGGAGCTTTCATTTTTATATCAATTCCGCCTGTAATGTTATGAATCTCCAGGTTTTTCACTATTGATTAGTCTGTGATTTCCGTGTTCTAATAATTTCTGTTATTCTGATAGTAGATTAGTTTGCATAATATGTGGATTTGTTCGAAAGCATGGTCGGGGTAGTTGTATGATTAAATGGGAATGTTGTCGAACATTGCATAAACCCATCTGATATTTTGTTGGTTTCAGGGATTTGATTTCGCTTTGTACTTGCCATGGCTACATCACACCTTCCCGCTACGACAGATTCTATTGCACGGGCTTTAGAAGCAAAGAACCCGTCAGAGGCCATTTCTATACTTTACCATGTGCTGGAAGACCTTTCGTCGTCTCCAGAAGCTCTGCGCATAAAGGAGCAAGCCATCGCAAACCTCTCTGACCTTCTTACCCAAGAGAACAGAGCTGAGGATCTCAGGAGACTTCTCACGCAGCTTAGACCTTTCTTTTCACACATCCCAAAAGCCAAAACTGCCAAAATTGTCAGAGAAATCATTGATGCTGTGGCCAAGGTGCCTGGAACAATGGATCTTCAAATCACACTCTGCAAAGAAATGGTGGAATGAACACGGGCTGAGAAGCGTACTTTCCTCAGGCAGCGAGTGGAGGCAAGGCTAGCAGCTCTCATAATGGAGAACAAGGAGTATGTTGAAGCTTTGGTACTTCTCACAAACTTGGTCAAGGAGGTCAGGAGATTAGATGATAAGCTTCTTCCAGTGGACATAGACTTGCTCGAGAGTAAGCTTCATTTCTCATTGAGAAACTTACCCAAGGCAAAAGCTGCCCTCAGCGCTGCTAGGACAGCTGCAAACGCGATATACGTCCCACCAGCCCAACAAGGCACCATTGATCTGCAGAGCGGGATTCTTCATGCGGAAGATAAGGACTACAAAACCGCTTACAGTTACTTTCTTACATGGACTACACAGCTGGGATATATCCATATGTCTTTATGGAAGAAGGATAAGGCGAATCAACCGGATTTTGCAAATATATGAACAAATCCTCTCGATCCATACAGGAAGGTGTTTTGTGATGATGTATGCAGTTGGGAGTTGGAGTGATGGGAGGGGAGAGCTCTCTCTTGGCTTGGGACGAGGCTCTCCCTTCACTGCTAAGCCCTCTATTTAGCCGCTTGCATGAAGAATCCTCTCATCACGGCTCGGCTGGCTAAATGCCCTCCTAGAGCGAGAAAGAATCACGTAAGACCGGCAAAAGGCAATCTGATTCTGGCTAAATTTTTTCCAAGGTTTCATTAAATCATTAAACGTCAGAACTGAGAGAGAGAGAGAGAGTAGACAAGATTGATGATTAATATGTCGTTCAACAGGGACAGACTTGTCACAAAGTAGCCAAATCAAAATGATTAAAGCCTCTGATTGAATCAGAAACCTAATGACGGCCGGATCAGTAGGAGTATGTTTCGCCTAACAGGAGCCACCGCTTCAATTACACAACTGAACTCAACTGAATAAACATCACACGGACAAAACCTATTTAGATAGAACGCGGGAACGGAAGAATATGAACCATACAGAGATGACAGACGTTATCTGAGATATGTACCTACTACTACCGCTGCTGCTGCTGCTGCTCCTGTACAAAGGAAGGGCCTCGTCTCGTAGTTTTATACAAGCCCCCGAGAAGAGGGTTTCTCTTCACTCGACCCTCCTCTTGACTATTTTATTCTTCGTTGTCGTCTTCTTCATCGAGGTCAACAATCTGAGCTCGCCTCTCAGCAGCTTTCCTCCTTATGAAGAAACCCCATCTCATTGCGGCTTTTATTTTCAGCCACCCGACAACAGCTTTGCCCGAACGGCCTCTGTCCTCCTCAAAGCTCTGCATCGGTGTCTGTTGCATGAAAGACGGAAAACTGAACAACCCGCCATCTTCTGCCACATGCGTATTCCCTCCCATGCTGAACAGCCGTAGCAGCTGTTGCATGTCCTCATTCTCCAGCATTTCATGGCTTCTTGACCTTATCTCTTCCTCAGAGAAGAAATCATCTCCTCCCCCTCTCTCCCGATGGTTTGACCATTCTTCAAATGGATTAAGATTTTCTGTCTGATTCGATGTGCTCATGTTTTGGTACCCACCACCGGTTGATGAGTGTGGTGGCCCAAGAGCCAGCCCTGCTGCTGCACTTTGATCGTTTATATTGCTTTGTGTTTGATGTAGACTGTCCACGAACTGGTCCTGTGGTGCAGACGAAGCAAACTCAAACTGTGTACGCGGATTGGAGTTGAGAAGCTGGTTCTGAGTCGAATATCTAGTAGCCAGACTTTGATTAAACCCTGGAAATGACAAAGTAAAAGATACACTTATCAGGCGAGACCACACAACAGGAATTTAAGACCTACTCAAAAAAGAGATTTACAAAGGCCAGATTGCTAACCTCCTATTGCTAATTCTGAATGAACTGAAGCTTGGTTAGCAGGCACTGAAGCGGGAAGCTCGTGGAATTGCATTGAGTGGTCAATGGTGGTAGAGTAATTTGCAGGAGCCATTGCGAGATCTGTTCGTGATATTCCTGATTTCTTAGGCTGCTTGAAGCTCATAAGAGATTTTCCATCATACTCGATGACTTGGTTCCAATTTTCATATGCCTTCTTCACCAGTCCATCAACATATACCTGGAGAGGAGAAACATATACAATCAAATGCATATAGCAGGATGAGACATAGAATCAAATTCAATCCATCCCATCTTTCAGTCCATCAGCACATAAGGAACACAATGGAAACTCGCTATTAAAGAGCACAAAACAAAGAGTTTTGTTGAAGTCAAGGAACATGTAACAAACCTTTTGACTGTCGGAGAGGGAATCGGCAGAAAAGTATTGATCCCCAGAAATGAGGCCACTTAACTCGTAGATGTTGTTGAAAACAACACCAACATTCCTCGAAACATCAGCGTAGTAGATATAAAGCTTTCCACTGAGGACACACGTCTTTGCATGCTCTACTAGAGCATCCCACATCTTGTTTGACATACCACTTCCAAGAATCTACATACATAGTAAAAGGATAATAGACATTAGACACACAATTGCATAATGGGAGATACTTCTCATCGAGCATTAGAACGAGGAGTCTGCACTTACGCTCCGTAAATTTCCAGAGTCCCTGACCAAGCATCTCAGAAAGTCTTCCACAGTGATTATTCCAGCAGCATTTAGCTTCTTATGAAATGCCCCGTCCTTACCGATCTTCTCCAATCTCCACACTTCATCATGCAAAGCAGGTGGATAATGCTTTTTGTACACTGCACCCAATAAATTTTTCAGTCAGATAAAAGACATGCCTCAAGACAGAGTAGTCAGACTTGAAGAAATAAAACCATACATTCGCCCCTGTGATCTTTGACAGTAAAAGCTTCTGTCTTTGCCTCACGTATGCGTATACCCTCACAGTAACCAGAGGCAGCCTTTAAACCGAGCCTGAATTTCCTACTCCTTATCCAACTTGAGTTATCTGTGAAAATTAGCTCACCCAAGCTCCCCACCCCTTCCTTGAGAGTAACCTGCAAGTCTCCAGCCAGTAATGGTCTCTTCCCTTCACGCTCTTTCACAATATGACTTTCAAATTCCTCCTGGGTCCAATCTTCATCATCTTCATTGTTAAAGTCGCCCTCAAGCACAACAACATCAAGCTTTGCTGAAGCTTCGGGTCCAAATGTTACGGCATGCCCACTGTTTGCATCAATCAATATGACATGGATTGCAGCACCCTGCTCTCCTTCCACTCTTCCTCCTGTGAATAACGGGAGAGACAACCTCGACCTGAAGTGCAGCTGCAAGTTCCGTCCACCCGGACCTTCAATTCGTTTAGGAGAAGACCTAGAACTGCAAAGTAAAGTGAAACCTCAGGATCTATTATCTGATGCTGAAGGAAAGACAAGCGTGTATAAAGCGTTATCAACCCTCAGCATTAGTCAGAAAATCAAGAGACAATAAAAATACAGTGAACTCTTTTTTCGTCAGTACAAGTTACCTTCCAGCGATCCTAGCAGGGCCTATCTTTGCCAAAGCACGTTCCACTTCTTCGCTAACCTGCTCAGCAACAATCCCGCATATAGCCATCAACAGAAGAGAGCTTATTTGAAAACAACGGGTATAAACATGAATTATGAGGATATCAACACGCACAATCAATAAATCATGCACCATGGGTTTTAACCTGCAGCCGCATTTACATCAGATAAAAATTTCGCTTCATAATAACACTACTAAAACTCAAACCAAAAAACAAGGAAGAAAAAAAAAACAGTACGAACAAACCAAACACAGATGTTTGACAAAAAAAAACACAGCTGGCACGCAGATGAAAAACCAGAAGGAAAAAAAAGACGGTACTTCTATATAAGAGCAACGGATCTTACAACTCGACGAAGAATAGGTTCCAAAGAGGAGCAAATCTTCTGCAAACTGTCTACTTTCAGAGCCTCTACAATTACACTGCACAAACAAAAGAAAGGGCAAGAAGCTCCCTCACGTCAGACAACTTCCAGGTCTAACATTGGGATGATGAATTGAAGAAATGGAGAAATCACCTAGCAAGAGCAGGCCGCTTTCGCTCGGGTTGGTCGTCATCGTTTCCGTCGAAATTCCTCTTTGATCTATTCATATTATTAGCTCTGTCCATCTACTTCTGCATCCTCCCAATTCTAACAAACCCTAAATTCCCAGATCTGCAACCGATAAAGCGACAAACCAAGCGAACTGAAATCACCAATATCATCCAAAAGAACCCACAAATCCAAAGCAGAACCCCTCAAAACCACTTCCATTAAAAACTTAAATCGCGAAACTAAAAATCCTGGGACCAAAGGCGGAAAAGAAAAAGACTTCACGGAGACTTCCTCGAAGACCAATCATCGCAGAGAAATCAACGACCAAACCTCCCAAAGAGACAAGTCAGAGAGAGAAAATACCTGTCTGGAGGGACGGAAAATCAAGAGCAGAGCCGGACAAATCTAACAGCGAGTGTCGGAGGAAAAGAAGAGCGGCTGCGGAAGTGGCTCTCTCTTTCTGCTTGGGCTGTGAAGACTTTGAGATTTTTGCAATGGTGGTCTACTCTGGCGACTCAACTGAAATAGCTTTTGGGAAGGGTTTTATTCCACTGTGGTGAGGTCTACGGTGGACTCCAATCATTACCAAAAATGTTAGGCTATGAATTTACGATTGTGTCGTTTTGCGCCGTCCGATGAAGAAAGCTAGATGAATCGCAGCCGTATGTTGTTACACAGGGTGACCATTTTTCTGCTTCCGTCAGCTATTAAAAAAACAACTGATCTGAAACTCGAAAGTATAAAAATCTGATTGCGATGCTTATAGTGGTACGTACCACATAATTTGATTAAAATCTGACAGTTATAATTTAAGAGACCAATGTAATATTTGATGACAAAGTTCAGACGGCCACTGATTCAGGACGGGCTCGGTGGCTGAACTCTCGGAGCCGTTGGTAGAGGTGGGTGAGCAAACGGCGGCAGACAACGGGAGGGGTAAAAGGAGAGGACATGAGGTATATGACATTCCCCAGAGGTCGCATGAATATTCCGTCTTCCCGCAGCATCTCCAGAAGGGACCTTGCGTATTCCGACCCGTACCTAAAAAACAGAGAGTGATAGACAGACCATTACTATATATATCCAATTTCACCAATGAATGATACCACAGCAAACGCCGACACGTCCACTTCATAAAGAAGAAACTGGCCGGAAACAGTCGCAGAGACAGAGGCATACCATGCCAGACACTGTTCTCCAATTCTCCATATGGTAACTAACCATCACTCTAGAAGGTGTCCCAAAGAAGAAGAAAAAAATGAGGATAATAAGACAAGGTCGATGGAATTACCCAGCATTAGAGCCATCGGCTTTTAGTTCTAGAGCAAAGAGGGTTCCTAATACAACCACCCTTTTAACCGCGGAATGAGATGATATCCGTCCCACCAGCTCCGCATCCCACAGCTGCACGGTCATTTAGCCGAAAGTAACCGAGGTTGCTATTACTTGCTTTTGCTTGAATCTTCGATAAATCAAGGGACACACACGAATAGAATCTAGATTTGTAGTACCTCTCTCAATGTTCTACCTCCTGACGTGATGTTATGGTTTGCCTGTGGATCTTTCAACCACTCTATGGCCTTGGAGGCTGCTGCACATCCCATCGCATGAGCTGAGTATGAATGACCATGCAGCAGCGCTTTAAGCTACAATCAACAAAGCAACCCTGAAGGCATTCCTAAGCAAAAAACCGGGCATTTCTGGATGCAGTCTAAAAACGTCACGTTACCTTTGAATCTCCAGAAAATGAATCAAACACCTCATCTGTGGCAAGTGTGGCAGCCAAGGGAACAATCCCACCAGTCATCAACTTTGCAAAGCAAGCTATGTCTGGAGTGCAGCCAAGAAGTTCTGCAGTAGTCTGGTTAAAGCATAATCAGTTAGCAAAATGGTAATGCAATATGAATTTGAATAAGAAGGCGCATACAACAAGATGGGATAGAAGTATCATTGACTAACCTCTACCCCAAGTCGCCAGAAGCCGGTGAACACTTCATCGAAAATGACTGGAATTCTCCGATTCCGGCACTCATTGACCAGAACACGCTGGAAAAGTGGATCAACCATGTGCATTCCTCCAGCAGCATGTATAACTACAAATGAGACTCAAGACCTCAATCAGAGGGAAGTTTGAATACCTATGCAGTATATCACTGATGGAATTTCGCCGGCTAACTACCAGAATCCAGTAAAGACTTACAAACTACAATATTTTTCACACCTGGTTCTATGATCAGTGCTCCAACATGGGCGGATTGGCTAACTCCAGAATAAAGTTTTAATTGCTTCGATATGTAGGCTGAGTAAGTTCCAGCAAGAATTGTCTCGTCTCTGTTTTTACAAAAAATCTCATCGCGAGTACTGAAGGCTGTAAAAGTTCAGAAATTTTAATTTTTAAATTACAGCACTGATGGAAAATTAAAGGGAACTTTTGACAACAGAAATGGAGAGTTGAGATTACTTTGAAATTTCTCAAGTGGAGTTCCAGAAAAACTTTCAGGAAGGGAGAGAGACCATGCTCCGTTGCACAAAAAGACAGTAGGAGGATCAAGAAACAAGCCTCTCCCAGTATACCTGGAACTCGAAAACAGACTCAAACTCCATTAACGTGCAAGAAGACAAAACGCAGGAACGCTTGTGTGAAAATCAACCATATGGTGAATTTGCAGAAGAGTTGATACCTAGAGGTCACAACAAAATCCGTCCTCTAAAAGATAAAAAAAAATATTACTGAAGCTAGAATTACAGCCAGTTATTTCAATCTAGCATATATATACTCTATTTTAAGAGAAGTTATGTAACGAAAGGCAGAGCATTACACAATACTGCAGGAGACACAGCTGATCCATGGCAACTCAAATGATAGATTATTATGAATAAAATTCTACAGAGATTCGTTAACTAACATTTATGGGAAAAAAAAGAAACCCTACCATGGCTGCTGGAGGAAGCCTGTGTAAGGCGATGGTGCTTGTGCTTCCATAGCTCCTAAAGTATCCCCATGGTACGATCCCCTAAGAGCTAAGACCTAAAATAGAACAGACATCAAATATTCATGTTAGATCAAAGAGAAAACCACACAGGTAGCAGCTTCCATGCAGAAGTGACTAGAAAACTACACAGTTGAGAGGGCCAGGGCTTCAGGGAGAAGATGACTAGTTGAAAGGAAGAGTATAAAAGGAAGAATTAGAAAATAAGGTCAAAACCATCTCATTTCAGCAGCAGCAGCGGACTATTAGCATTCAATCCCAAATATAAATGGGCAGGCCATTTAATGGAATATTCAGAATTATCAAATTATGATACCTTCACACTGATATATTCTGCATCTTCATTAGCCTGGTTTGAATTCGAAAGGATCCCATGATCAGAACAGAATTTACGGAATGCCATTTTCAGAGCAATTTCGATTGCTGTGGACCCATTATCCGAGAAGTATACTCGAGAAGCCCAACCTGAATGCAGAAATGATTAATCCTGCCCGCACATTCCCACAGAAAAGAAAACAGAATAATACAGCAGCGCAAATAACAAACCTTTGCCAACTCCATCTAACAAGAGTTCAGCACATCTTAAGGCAGGTTCATATACATTCTCAGGGAACATTACATGGCCAAATCTAGCAGCAGTATATCCCATTTCTCTAGCAAGCTCAGCCTGAAACCACCTAAACAAAAATTTAACTTAAACATCAGTCATAACATGGTAAGGTATTTGCACAAACTATATAACCCCGTCAATGGTACGCAAGGAAACATTTTCTGTATGAGAGAACTGAAATATTAGTGGCCATGTAGATGACCTGGAAAGCAGCATCTGGCCCTTGTGTCCACCAACTTGCACACGCATCAAACTGCTGAGCTAAAACTTCGTTATCACAGTCCTACAAATGATGACAAAAACAAAGGATTCGTTAGTATCCTGCCCAAGAAATAGTTACCCAGATTTAAATGGAGAAATGACAGGTCAAAGTGAAGAAGCATCAACTCAAACAAACCTTGTAGACTGAAAAATTTTCACCACAACGGGAATCAATAACTGTGACGGTTTCTTCTGGAATAAGTTTGTGCTGAGTAAAAGGCCACCAGAAGAAGTCTCCTGCCCGCTTTGCCATGCCATTCAGTCTTTCCATTCTTTCCAAATAAGCTGACAGCATCGTCTCTTTCAAAGAGTCAAATACACCACCACATTCAATAAACCATTCAATAAGGTCATCTGAAGGATCCTTAGGGACCGGCGGAAGGACGAGCACTGGCACCCTAAAGAATACCAGTGCCAAAGTCAGACAAAAATAGAATAAAATGATTCGTTCCAAATGAAGATCAGGGAGGAAATCGAAAGCCACCCAAATTACCTATTTCTCATATATGACATTAATGGAGCTTCATTAACAAGCCCATGATCTTCGAGAACAATAGCAGCGATGTCATATCCCCTAAGTTTCAGACTCTCATATGCAGCAATTGTTGCCGAGATACCACCAAGCCGGCCATCTCCAACAAGAATCCCGGGCAACCTAAAAGGCCTGAGTACAGGCAAAAGTACCAACAGGCAAGGCAACAGTTCATTCGAGCCCTTCTACGGAGAATGTGAGCATCGTGCCCAAATTTAGCTTTACGTTCCACGAGATTCATAAGACAGAATATCAGAATCACCTGTAGAGGTCGCACTGAAGCGTCCCCGACGGCCCCGGACTGGCAACTCCACCAGCTGTCTCCACAACACATATAGCCTCCGTTCTGTCTGTTTTACGTCCACCGTCCATCTCCTCCGTCAAGCATTTCTCCAGCATCTGCAGCACCAGGGAGTCCTCCACCGGCGTATTTTCCTTCTCCGCCGCTAAATGCGGCGACCCCGCCGCTTCCCAAGCGTACAGCGTCTTGCACACGAGCTCCGGCGCGCCGGGAACCGTCCTCTCCTCTCGGAAACCCAAATCGCACATCCCTGAAACCTCGCCGAGTACAGCATCCCGACCGAGAGATACAGCGGCGTTGGGGGACGAACGGAGGACGGAGTGGGAGAGTGAAAGGGAGAGAAGCGAGCTTGGAAAAGACGAAGCGAGAATCGGAATCGGAAGGGAAGCCAGTCTGCAAGGGCTTAAGGTAGATGAGTCTTCCAGAAGAACGGGCGGAGGAAGAAGGACGGAGGAGGAAGGAGGCGGCGAGGCCGGCGGAGACAAGGGTTTTGCCGAGTGAAGTATTTGCGGACCACACAAGGTACGTGGGGTGGTTGAGCGGAACATGGAGCGGCGAAGCAGCGGTCGAGATGAACCTGAGGTGGTGGTGGTGGTTGTGGTGGTGGAAGTGCCGGAGACGACGGCGGAGACGGTGACGGAGGACGGCGGAGGAAAGTGGCAGCATGGTTAGTTGGCAGGTGAGCTACCAAAGTGAGAAAAGAGAGTGAAAAGGACGACTGCGCTCCGCTTATGATTTTCCTACCGTTTTATCTTCTCCGGTTAACCGGTATACGGGCCCATTAAGTCACAATCCGGCCCATTTAACTATCCACCGGGAAAAAGCGGTGGTCAGTGACTTAATGGGCCGGGCTGCCGTTAGATATTTTAAAGAATTTCCAATTTTCCATTGCGCGAAATAAAATTTCAAAAAATTTAAACACACAATCCAATGCAATATATATATATATAAACAAAAAAGCCTTAATTGAATAAAACCGTATAAGAATTTCTTATATGACATCAAACGGTTGAAAATTTCGAATTCAAATACATATGATCGTTTGAAAAGATAAAAAAGAGGAGGGACACGGGCGGAGCATATGCTGAACGGGTGGAGGTCACTCAACGCGAATATTCCAATTGTGAAGTTTTCAAAAGTTTATAATTAACTATAAAACAAGGAAATGCCACGTGTGCAGCTACCTGGCGTACAGACGCATCGCTTCTTCTGGCCATTTGCCGAACCCCCGAAAAAAAAAATCTCTTCGGCCGAGAAACTCTGTCATCGCCGTTCCTTCTCAATTATTTTTCTTCGACGTCCTCTTCCTCATCATCGACACGATTTTTGCCGGAGTTCCTTTACACGGTGTCTTATCTAATCGGTTTAATTTTTCCCGGTATATATATATATATACACACGTTGGTGGAGATCCATCCATCTCTCGCCTGAAATATTCAATCGGGGAAAAGTCGGTGAAGGAAATCGGAGGTAGGGATCGAGGTTTCAGGATTTTTGGGAAGAAAGCAGGGATCTTTGGATTTGGGTTTCTGGGAATTCACCTTCACCTTTCCCGAGAAATAAGGTATCCGTTCGTTTCTGGGGATGATTTTCAACTGATCGTAGAGTATGTCGGTTTATCGATTCCATCCATCGGCGCCGCCTTTGATACTTTCAGGCCAACGGGTAAGCTCTTTTTTCGGAGATTCATTTTGGTTGATCTGTGCATCCATGTCCGTTTCAGGGAGATTCTGATGCTTCCGCGGAAATTTTCCGGCAGCTTGTAAATGGAGAACCGATTGAACTGCAAAGCGGGAGCCACTGAGTTGCTGTATTTTCACTTTGGTTTTGAGATTTGGCTCGAGGACACGGAACCCAAGAGCTACGTCTCGTCGAGTTTGAATTCCCATGTGTAATCAGCCAACAGGTCAAGAAGACAACAGTAACCACCCCGGGAGATCCACCATGGATTCTGGTTCGGTGAATTCACCTTCTGTCTCCAGCCCGACCACTAGCTCAAACGAGGAGCCACCCCGCGTGAAATTTCTATGTAGCTTCTTGGGCAATATATTGCCCCGTCCACAGGATGGGAAATTGAGGTACGTAGGCGGGGAGACACGGATTGTTAGCGTCCCGAGAGATATAAAGTACGAGGAGCTGATGAACAAAATGAGGGAGCTTTACGATGGGGACACGGTATTGAAGTACCAGCAGCCGGATGAGGATCTCGATGCTTTAGTCTCGGTCGTGAATGATGACGATGTGACAAACATGATGGAGGAGTATGATAAGTTGGACTCGGGAGATGGGTTCACCAGGCTTAGGATCTTCTTGTTCTCCCATCCGGACCAGGATGGTTCGTTGCATTTTGTAGACAGTGACGAGAGGGAAACTGAGAGGAGATATGTGGATGCTCTGAATAATTTGAACGAAGTGCCGGAGTTCAGGAAGATGCAGCAGCCTGAGTCTCCGCGTTTCAATCCGCTTGATGATTTTCATATCATGGAACCGATGCTAAACCAGCTGAGCTTTGAAGGTGGTGGTCCTCATAGCCAGAGGAGTAGTGATATTCCTGTCACGCAGTATAATCTGCACCAGCTCACAATTCCTCGTGTTGGGTCAGGGCAGTTCCCTCCACAGAGGTATGGTGAGGTCGAAGGTACATGGAGTCCTTACTACTCTCCACGTCAGCACGATCCGAGGACTTTCCAGGAATTCCCAGCTTCGCCTTCTTCAGCTCGTTATCGTGTGCCTTATGGGGATTTGCCCGAGAAAGGCTTTGACAAAATGCCTGAGGAATATGTTAGGCAGCAAGCAAGTCATCATCCATTATATGACCTCCAGGCCCAAGTTCCGGAGAATGTTGTCTGGGTTCCGGCAGGTGCAATGCCAGCTGATAGCAAGGGCGGCTTTCCAGGGAATGTACTTCACAACCCAGGTGTCTATGAAGGGAGTAGCATCTGTGGGAACTGCCGTGTGGCGTTTCACAGGAACCAACAACATTTTGAGCAGCCTAATCTAGGCAATGGGTTTCCACCGGTTCCTCCTACTCATTGTGAAGACTGTCCACCAAACAGGGAAAGCTTCTTGTTGAATGCAGACCAAAAACTTCATCATGGTATTTATTCAAATGAGGCTTTCGGTCACGAAAGAGGATGGATAATGCAGCATCAGGTGAACCCTAATCCTGCCCTGGTTGAGGAAGTGAGGTCACACATCTCCAGTGTTGGAAGATCAAATGATCATTATGTTGTTGATGGACCTGGGACGAGTTATCCTCTTGGCCATGGTAATCCTGTGGATGGTCATCACACGCCATCTGATTATGTTCAGCACCGAGCTGGACATGAGCTGCCCAATGAAGTGGTTCATGATAAACCTCTTGGTGGTGGTCCCTTGAATTCGCACTTCCTTCCTGGTGAAGAATGTGGGTTTCGTTACGGAAACCATCTCTATGCTCCAGGACCGGAAGGCATTCACTCGGTGACACATGGGCACATACATCCGCAACAAACCCCATGGAGACATGCTCCAAACCCTATAATTGGTGCCCCTGGCTTAACCCCGCAAGGGGATGGCACTGTGAATCAGGTTGTTATCAGGGGTCCGATGGATGCAGGGATTAGGTACTCTGTTGGAGTTGAGAATCAAAGTGGTTTTCTTGATTCGCCACGGAACATGTTGGGTTTTGATGGAATATCTTCCACTGGGCAGCCTTATGTTCAGAATCCTCATGTTCCCGATAGGGCAAACCCCCTCCCTTTGGACCCAAGTCGAGTGCCATCTGAAAACATCGCAGTGCATAGGGAATATCTGCAAGTGACAGACCCGTCATCAGCCCCCTTGTTCCAGAAGAATATCAATGCTTTACCAATTTTGCAGACGACCCACGGTGTGGATATGGTGAAGCCAGATGAAAACAAGATTGTTCAGGGGGAGAAAGAATGTAATTATGTTGAAGGCGGTGTACCAAACGGTGTTACTTGCCTAGAGGAACCTGAGCAGTTAGCTCATGATGAATCAAGTGCATGGACTAATGAGGGAAGGAGTAATGCTGTGAAACCGGGAGAAGTTAGTCCTTCAACTCCTCTTGAAGGAGTGAAGCTATCAGTTGAGCGTTTGAGTTTCTTGCCCGAGCTGATTGCTTCTGTGAAGAGGGCTGCACTAGAAGGAGCTGAAGAAGTCAAAACCCAAGCAACTGAAACAGATTTGGTGGAAAATGATTCTCTTATCCAATCAGATCATGTGGTGAGTGTTACAGGATGCTAGTCGAGGGAGTAAATTTTGTCCCTTTGTTCTTGGGTTTTAATCTTGGCACAAATTTAAATCATGTAGAATCACGAAGCAGAACCTGAGGTGGATTATGATAGTGATGATTCAAACAACTTCAAGATTGAACCAACAAAGGCTGAGGCTGAGGCTATCGCCAGGGGACTTCAGGTTTTGCATTGATTCACCATAACTTCCTCATTTTGATTCTACCCCACGAATACGATCAAGTAATATCAAATTTTGATATATGAAACAAGAAAAAAAAAGATCGAAAAAAGCTGGAAAAACAGTAGAAGAAACTGGTTGCAGATACTTTTTAGACACTATTGATCGTCTTAGAAATTTCCTCAAACAGTCACACCGTGTTGTCATGGACGATTTAGCTGTATCCATTATATTTATTATTGAATTTTCTACTCTGGCTTTTGTCTTTTGTTTCAGACGATAAAAAACGATGATCTGGAGGAGATTAGAGAATTAGGTTCAGGAACATATGGATCTGTTTACCATGGGAAATGGAAAGGTTCTGATGTTGCAATAAAAAGGATAAAAGCCAGTTGCTTTGCAGGCAAGCTTTCTGAGAGGGAACGTTTGGTATGTTTAAAAACCTCATTTAGTTATATGGCATCGTCTTCGAGATTTGGTACATACAAAGGGACTCAATGTTCTCTTGCATAAAACTAAATTTGTAGTTTCATTTTTCTGACAAAACACAGATAGCTGATTTTTGGAAGGAAGCTCTGATATTGGGCTCCTTGCATCATCCAAACGTTGTTTCGTTCTATGGGATAGTTCGTGATGGTCCAGATGGGTCTCTGGCTACCGTGACTGAGTTCATGGTTAACGGATCCTTGAAACAGTTCCTGAAGAAGAAGGACAGGTAAAAAAAAGAGATTCACGATAAAATATTTATAGTATTCTACCAAAAAAAAGTATTTATAGTATTTTTTTTTCCAGAGAACGCAAACTCAAAGTATGAAAATTTTCATTATCTCTTGTGTCAGAACTATCGATCGCCGCAAGAGACTCATCATTGCCATGGATGCTGCTTTTGGGATGGAATATTTGCATGGGAAGAACATTGTTCATTTTGATTTGAAGTGCGAGAATCTCCTTGTGAACATGAGAGATCCACAGCGTCCTGTGTGCAAGGTTGAATAGAAAATTCATCAATTTGTTAAATGTTTCCTCGGCTAAAGCTGAATTTTCGTCTGAATCTAATGCTGAAAATGGAAATGCCATCTTCCAGGTCGGTGATTTGGGGCTATCAAAGGTGAAACAGCAAACGTTAGTGTCGGGAGGCGTTCGTGGAACATTACCATGGATGGCACCTGAGCTCTTGAGTGGCAAAAGCAACATGGTGTCTGAGAAGGTACGTGCAATTGTAAAGTAATGGTTTTCATGCTTCAATATCAATGTGTCTACTTTATGAACAAACAGTAAGATCTTTACCGTCTCATTCACGGGTTAGATCGATGTCTACTCGTTCGGGATCGTCATGTGGGAACTGCTCACCGGCGAAGAACCTTATGCGGATATGCATTGTGCCTCCATAATCGGTAATGCCGAGTCATGAGCCTTTACACAGTTGAAGTGTCTTCTTCTGGGTTCGAAAATTGAGTTTGAGTTGTGTCAGGTGGAATGGTGAACAACACATTGAGGCCGAAAATCCCGGCATGGTGTGATCCAGAATGGAAGGCGTTGATGGAGAGTTGCTGGGCTTTTGATCCTTCTGAGAGGCCTTCCTTCTCTGAAATCTCTCACAAGCTGAGAAACATGGCCGCTGCTATGAATGTCAAATAAAAACTCCTCCTGGGGAAAATAATTAACTACCCTATGATGATGATGATGATGATGAAGATAAAGATTCTGCAGTATATATAAGAGGCCTTCTACACTTTTTTTTTTTTTTTTTGTGGGGGCATAATGAGCTATATATATATATATATTCTGATATTGGTGAGCTTTATAGAAAAGGGCAATTCAGTATCAGAATCAGCAGTGAAGGTGATGATTCTGGGTATTATGTGTTGGATTTGCAGGAAGCGATGATCTCTTGCATGGGTTTTGAAGGTATCTCGTTATTACTTATTTGTTGTTGTCTGCCTGTGTGTGTGTGTGAGAGAGTGGTACTATACTGATAACTTTTTGGACGTGTATTATTCAACGACGGTTGTATCGTGAATAAATGTGAGAATATATGTATGGAATAGAGTTGTATTGAGTAACTTCTTTTTGGGCCTGGGGTTGGGTGAATGCTGTATGGGCCACCGTCCGTAAACCTAAAAAAGAGTGAAACATAAATTGAGACACCAAGTCCATGCATCTGTGATGTTTTCCGTCTGGTTCGGTTCACCGATTGAGATGTAACATATTTAATTCGCCCTTTCATTTCATTGGCCGGTGTTATTTCATCACTCGGATAATTTGGAGGGGAGTGACCAAAAATATATATACATACACACATAGATAGATAATGGAACGAGGGGTCCACCACAGTAACCGATCCAAGAAGATTGAATGGAAACAAAAAAATTGCGAAAATGACGTAACCCTACGGAGTCGCGCGCAAGCAGTTGGTACGTTGACTCTATGAGAAACGCCACACAAAGTCAGCCCCCGCAATGTTAGAAAACATATCTCCCTCCCTCCCTCCCATTGATTAGTGTAGTAGGAGCCATACATATACATATACATATATATCCTTTCATTTTGTTTGCATGTACCTGTTGTTCTTTGCATACGGAATATACGTTACAACTTTACTTCTAAAGCGAATACATATATGGAAGGTGTTTCAAGACTTCAATAACCTATATATATATATATATACACTTAAACATAGTTGAATATACCAATACAAAGGTAAATAATGTATGTGACGCCATCAAAACAAGAGAACAAGATACGTGTCTTGTCCTCTAGAAAACATTTGTATCTTAATGAATAAACCTAACACGCGGCTGAGACTTTTGTTCCTCTGGTCAAACCCACTTCTACGCACCACTTGACTTGTTACATCTCTCTTCCATAATTATATATATATATATATATATATATATATACACCCAAATGGTATGTGAAGGGTATGTTTTTTATTTGGCGGTGAAGGGCTCAAACTTTCTGTTTTTCATCTCTTGCTCTATCGAATCTGTTGGAACATTAACGCATGTTAACCGTGACTTATAAGTAAGGGTTGATCTTGGTATTTTACCCTCTTATTTATTTTCATCCTCATATATATATTTCCATTTACCGTCTCGTTTTAATAACGAAGGTGCGTGCCACTCTGCCTAGCTGGTTTTAGTCAACCCGAGTGACGTGATATTGTTGTTTGGTCTGACTTTCCGTACGTTTTAAGCATAGTTTTGGCCATCCTTTATTTGTTGGGAGGAAATAATAAAAAGGCTTACAAAATTATAACAGTCAAGGGTTTGAATGCCAATGTTAAGCTTGTGCTCGTATCGTATTTAGTTTTTTTTTTTTTTTTTGGTAAAGCGTATTGCATTGCAAGATTGTCTTAATTCACCCCAACGAATCCACACATATAATTTATAACCCCCCCAAAAAAAAACCCGATAGAGTTAATAATGTAAACATATAATCTAAATATTTATTCCATATAAATCAAATCACAAAATTTGTTACATAATCTCATAGCTCAACATTGGTCATGATTTTTGTCAGACATTATAATTATCTTTAACGGTCCATCAGCTTACCTTTGATTTTGGTTGTTTGGAATGAAAAAAAAAAACATATGGAACTGATATTAGTATGAAATGCAAATCTTGAGGAAATCAGGAATAGCTGGGCATTGAGCACCGATTAATGATTATAGAGTGAAGCCAGCGGGTCGACATCTCAAGCTTATCCGCTTGACTTGAAAACGAGATTTAACAATTAAAATCATATATAAATATGAATCGCCAGCTCTAAGATATATATCTTAATGTGTGGGATTTTGTCAAACGCATAGATTCTAGGGTTTTGAAAAAGGACAGGAAGAAACGTTGTGTTTTAATAAAGCTCTGAATCCGCTTATATTATAATATCACAACAGAATATTAGTTTGCTCCTTTTTGAAATTTTGATGGTTTCCTCTTTGTTATTTTATCGATCGGCTAGTTGCGGTTCTCTAACTCGCTTGATTATATATATATATATAGAATTAAAAAGTCCACATCGAGAATCATCAAGGCCAATAATTATACGTTGTCAAATGAATTACCATGATAATGTAGTCTCTAGTCTCTATGGTAAAAAGACACCCTCCGCAGCCAATCACTACTTGCCACGTTAGACAGAATCCATGCACGGTAGGATTGGTAGGGTTATTCAACCGGTTAAATGACAAAAAGAAAAAAATCAAAGGTAGAATGCATTGGAGATTCGAAGTCTGGTGTACATAAAACATGTAAATATCCGTATGCTTAAGAAGGTCTGCTTACGCATATGGTCAAATTATACACAATTATGTATATAAACATAAAATATAAACACAGGCGTATAAGTCAAGGGCCAGCTTCTAGAATCTGTCTGGGATAAATAAACGTTTTTAAGGGATGAAATTAAGTTAACGATTGCTTTTGGTTGAAGTCAAACTTAATTTGCAGAGTCGTAGGATACGGTCTCTCGATATCGACGCTTGTCCTAACAGCACACGGATCCTTGTAAGCTCGTATTATATGCAATAAGCATATTATTATTATCGGTCATCATGCAACAGATGTTCAACCATGAAATGAATAGATGATATCATACTATATAATGGCCGATGATTTTTTTTTTTTGTCCAATTTTATCGATATGATTTGTGTTATGCTAATTATATCTCTTGCTTTAGAGGAGAGAACATTTCAACCCTAGTTGCGACAAACCAATCAAGAGGGTGGTTTTGTTTCCGTTTGATATTGTAATAATAACCAAACTAATCCCGGCCCACCAACGGGAAAAAGTCTCTCTTTCTTTATTATAAACACGAAGAAAAATTGGTGCCACAAATTGTCCATTTGCGTTAACACTTTACCAAAAAAAAGCATAAGAAACTAATCCAAAAAGCAGACACAAACCCTAGAGATTATAATAATCTGGATTTAAGATAAGAAAATTGCGTAAATTATTAAGACTTGTATTTTCTTCTTTAAATATTTGGTCGTTATAACAAGTGTTTTAGAAAACCCATCTCTCTTCGTCCCTATAAATCTTGCCCTTATTCTTTCGCATTCAACACATGTTCTGGTCAACTGAAGAAGAAGAAGAAGGACATCGGAAACAGTAGAAGTGAAGACTGACTGGTTAAGATCAGAGACAAGAATGGGAAGAGCACCGTGCTGTGACAAGGCAAACGTGAAGAAAGGGCCGTGGGCGCCTGAAGAAGACGCAATGCTCAAGGACTACATCCACAATTATGGAACCGGCGGCAATTGGATCGCCCTTCCTCAGAAAATCGGTACGCTGACTTATCTACTCTTCAAAACATATATATGTGTATATACCTTTTGTGGTGAAGTTGACGACGTTTAATTCGTCCGTGAATGCATATATTAGGGCTGAAGAGATGCGGAAAGAGTTGTAGGTTGAGATGGTTGAATTACTTGAGACCTAACATCAAACATGGTGGATTCTCTGAAGAAGAAGATAACATCATTCTCAGTCTCTACATCAGCATCGGCAGCCGGTTGGTCCACTTAATAACTATATTCATTGTTCAAGTTTTCACGTGTCATTAGATTCATCGTATATACATTAAGAGCCTTTTTTTCATGGAACTCTAAGGTCAGTTACATAAACGATTTTAACTAATTTAAAGTAGCAATTCAACCTAAATGCTAAATTAAATGAACAAACCCCTTTGATCTCTTAATTAGGGTTATATGTTATATATACAGAGACTTTACAAGGTTTTCAAGAGAGCGTATCGATTTGGCTTTGAGGGTTTGGACTTGTTATAGTTGTCCTTTTATCCTCTGTCTCTGAATCTTTAGCTGAAACGCATGCGATCCCTTGTCTGTGAAATATATGCACATCTTCATTCCCCTGATAAAATATTAGGGTTTAATTTAATATATTGTCTCTTTCCGCTTGTTTAATTTTCTTTGGTGTTTACACATGCACTCATGCCCTTGGACAAGTATCCAATCTTGCAGATAATTCAGGGCTTGCAAAGTCCACAAAAAAATTGTTTGGTTCGGAATGTTATATCTACGTTAAAATTATGCTTTTTTTACATATATGTATTATATATATAGCGAATGTATATATAAGCGTTTGAATGCTGTGTAGGTGGTCCATAATCGCTGCTCAGCTTCCAGGGAGGACAGACAATGACATCAAGAACTACTGGAACACTAAACTGAAGAAAAAGCTGCTTGGGAGGCAGAAGCAGATGAGTCCCTCTGACTCAATCAGCGACTCTAACCAAAGCTCCAGGAGCTCTCAGTCTCAGAATCTTAGCAACTCGGCTCTTGAAAGGCTTCAGCTTCATATGCAGCTTCAGAATCTACAGAGCCCTTTCGCCAGTTTCTACAACAACCCTCTCCTTTGCCCTAAGCTTCACCCATTGCTGGACCCGAGACTTGCATCGCAAGAAAACTTCCCGTCACTAAAATCTGATCAGAACAAGTTTCCTCAAACCAATAACCGAGTCTCACCGCTTTACGGCCATTGCAATGCAACCATCTCTCCTAATTCAAACCCCGTTGAACCATCCTTAAACCCGTTTCTTGATTTCCGGCCCAATCCCAATTGGTTCTTGGACAACCGAAGCTTCTTCTCAACAGGGTTGTCTCAGGAAATTCAGTTGGATCGTAACGGCTTGGGTCTCGTGAAAGAGATGGACAACAGTTCCAAGGATGCTGAAGTGGCTAATGATTTCGATCTTCTAACCGAGATGAACGTTGGTTCAAGTTTGTGGTCGGAGGAGTTCGAGAGGAAAATGACGTCTCCGAGCTCCTGGGACTCGGGTTCGGCATCTGTAATGGGCCAGACAGAAAATGGGATCGTCATGTTTCATGATTACGCCGAGATGAGTTACGTCGAAAGTGCGTAACAGTTCCATGCATCGTGGTGGGGTTTTATAACTATTAGGGTTGCATTGATGGTTAATTGCATAAATTGTATTGATAACGGACATAAAGCTTGTACAAGCGTTGGGGTGAAAATCTATGTACTGTATAGTATCTTTTTGTAGTACGTTGTGGATAATAATGTAAATCATATGCTTATATGCTTTCCATGTTTTAATTTCACTCTTACCATTACCACGCAAACCAACATCAAGAGCTTTTTTTTCATATTGTTACCATGCTAACGGCAGTAAAATTAGCACGGGTTTTATCAATTTGAAATGTTGTGGTCATATGTAACGGTTCAAATTAAAAACAAAAAAGAATAGCAAATATGATGATGAACAGTTTAGGCAAAGGGCGCATTTATTTGCAGATATGTTAATACGGTTTTGATGTGTTGGGCTGGGCCTCGGACACATAAAGATCGAAGCCTCATTGAAGAGAGAGATTTTTAAATATAAGCCCGTAGGAGCATTGACAAATACAACGGATAAAAAAAGTACTTAGACAAGGACAGTGGTTCCAATATTCTAAATTTTTGTATTTACTATTAAATATTCCAACATAAACCGTCCGTGGTCAACATTTTATATATGTGGTGAAATATATTGTAAACGCAATTGGGTAAATGTTTATATTTTCTCCTTACCGACGAGAAACTACAATGTGGTGAACCATAATCGAACATGGAAACCACATTCTCGTTGACAAACAAAAAGTCCAAATGTATCATAAGCAATCCCTTATTTAAATACTCTAAAACGAACTTATATATATATATATATATATAATCAACTTACTCCCAGCCAAAACAATCAATTATTGGCCGATCCACACCAGACACCACAAGAATGGCGACCGTTGCATCAACTCAGACTCTGGTTTCTACGATCGCCCTTCTCTTGTTGGCCTTCCAAATGGTCAATGCAGACTATTACCGTCAGAGACCACCACCCAGCCCGAGCCCCAAACCCTACATTCCGAAGATACCGAGACCGGTCATTCCGAGCCCAACCCCACATCCACCCGCAGGCTCGTTGGCTCGTCAGTTCCTTGACCCGCAGAACGCTGTCCGGTCGCGGCTAGGTATGTTTTGAACTTCAAATAGCATCTTCTTCTTCTAGTTCAAATACTGACATAGGAAAATAAAAAGGAATTTAATTCACTAATAAACATGTTTATATATAATAAGTCGGTTACAATTTATTTAGCCATGCTGCCACTCGTATTTTGCAAGTTTTTCCTGTTTATCTTTATAACTCTTGCATTAAAAGAACCTATTCGTCATATTTGTGTTATTAACCGGGTTGCATATATATAACGTTGATGTACAATCATGCAGCAGCTGTTAGTTGATAACTGTTGCAATGTAATTAGCATATATATATTGGTTATTTCTGGTGATGTAAAGGTCTGCAGCCGTTGGTGTGGGACGGGCGGCTGGCCGGGTATGCGACGTGGTGGGCGAACCAGAGAAGATACGACTGCAGCCTCACCCACTCGACCGGTCCGTATGGAGAGAATCTATTCTGGGGAAGTGGGTCGGACTGGACACCGGGTCAGGCCGTTCGGACATGGACCGTTGAGGGACAGTTCTACAGATACGGAGCCAACTCGTGCGGGGGAGGGCAGATGTGCGGTCACTACACTCAGATAGTGTGGAGGGACACAAAGCGTCTGGGATGCGCACGTGTCGTGTGCGAAGGCGGTCGAGGAGTCTTCATCACTTGCAACTACGACCCCCCTGGCAACTACATCGGCGAGAAGCCTTACTGATTCTCCTCTTTTGTGTTTTTATGTGTTGAATTTCGGTTGTTTTATGTGAAACCTATTTGTGTTTGGTCATGATGATGAGCTTTATCCGTTTACTTGATCCCATGTTGTTTGTTGGATCATGCCCTCGTATTTTGGAGGCTGTCTATGTTGCACCACCACAAATGAGTGGTGTTTCAACTCTTTTTTTTTTTATTCGTCCATTATGATTTTCCATTTTCACAACTATATTTGCCATGAACACCTTATCTATTCTTTTCCTTTAAAAAAAAAATAAAAATGCCAAATTTTTTTATAAGAAATTTTGAGCACACAGAGGTGGGCCCCATCAGACAAAGCCTAATTATGAAGAACGCAGGAGAAAGCCTAGTGGTACAAAGCCCAATTAGAAATCAAGCGGTGGGCTTTCAAAATATCACAGGAGTTCTGCTATTTTGGATAGCCATGTATTTGTCTATTAAACCCCCAACCCCCCCCCCCCCCATATTTTATGATTTCAAAATATAAATCCCCTTGCTATTATTAATCAACCAGGTATCGTTGGTTTATTACTTCAAGGAGACCATGTTGTATTAAATAAATTGTTAAATTGTCGTAGTCGACGAATCGGGGACTTACACGTGTTACAGCTGCGATGAAGATTATTTTCTTCTTCTTCACTCGTTTGCTTTATTAGTTTGTTGCACATGATCGCGTCCTTCCCTGCATCTCCATCTGCGACCTGATCTCTTCGCCCTTTTCGGCAGCAGTTCTGGTCGGAGAATTTCGCGCATATGATGTACCTGCGGTGGATTGGTTGCGGTTGCTTTCCGGCGAACAACCGTGGAAGGGGGCTGAAGTCGGAGATAGACAGCGGCGGCGAGGATGTCTTCGATTCGGCGGCTATGGAGTCCGCCGAGAAGCCGGATCATCTCGTGGTCATGGTGAACGGCATCGTTGGAAGGTACGGGGATCACCGGCTTTTATAATTTTCATCCCGTTTCTCTCAGTATGGAAGTTCATGGAGATGTTGCGTGGTTCGTGATTAAGTGCCGGGGATTGGAAATTTGCGGCGGAGCAGTTCGTGAAGAAGCTTCCGAACCAAGTAATCGTGCACCGTACGTATTTTAACTCATCGGCTTATGGTTTTTGAGTGTCTTCCTTGTGTTTTCCGTTGTTAGGGTTTATAACTCGTTTACTAGATTATCCGAACAATGTGCATGGATCGGGTTTCAGCCTACCATCTGATATACTGGTGTTGACAGAATTTGTTGATTTGATGAAAGTGATGGTTTACCCGCAAGCAGGTAGCGAGAGTAACTATGCAAAGTTGACATTTGATGGGGTTGATCTGATGGGCGAGAGGCTGGCTAATGAGGTATAGTATCGAGTAATGAATATTCGAATCCTCGTCACTGCAGCTTGATTCCACTCGTGATCAGTGTCTTGTTTCTTTTCCTTGATTAATTGTGGTAATCTTATGCAGGTTTTATCTGTTATTAAGCATAGAAGTGGCCTTAGGAAGATCTCGTTTGTGGCTCATTCATTAGGAGGTCTTATTGCCAGATATGCTGTTGGGAGGCTTTATGAGCAAACCAGCGAAGCCAACTCTCTCGATCCTCTTTCAAGGACTGGGAGTGAGAAAGGTGACAGAATTGCCGGGTTAGAACCTATGAACTTTATAACTTTCGCAACACCTCATCTTGGTTCGAGGGGTCATAGACAGGTGAATTGATGTTTTAAGTTGCATGTCTAGGTCAAACGATCTCCTTTGTTCCCTATATGGTTTCGACCTGTTTCCATTTCCCCGGACGGTCAGAACTAATATGACATGCTCTCTCTGTCTTTGTTCAGTTCCCTATTCTTTGTGGCCTTCCTTTTCTTGAAAGAACAGCATCCCAAACTGCACACCTGGCAGCAGGGAGGACAGGAAAGCATTTGTTTCTGGTGGACAAGGATGATAGCAAACCTCCTCTTCTCCTCCGGATGGCTACGGATTCTGACAATCTGAAATTTATGTAAGTCTATATAAATTTCTCATTGGCTATGTTGCTTCTCCGTCTGTTGACATCGAGGACAGAGACAGAAGTATTTCCCCTCTCCTTATGACTTGAACAGATCAGCTTTACATGCCTTTAAGCGCCGTACGGCCTATGCAAATGTGAATTATGATTGTATCCTTCTCAATAAAGGTGCAGTATATACATAACTGTCAATGGTATCACATTTGCTTCATTTACTAGAGAGAATGTTTGCCTTCACTGCCGATGTAGACATGGTTGGGTGGAGGACATCCTCAATCCGTCGTCAGAATGAGCTCCCAAAGGTAGGCGTTTACTTGGTACATGTTATGTTTTTTTAATCCGTTGTGACGTTGGGTTTGATTCGGTAATTCTTATTGCTTCTCCTCTTTCAGCCAGATCTTCTTGCAACAGATCCAAAATATCCACATATCATCCATGTAGAACATGGAAAGATGGACAATGTCAGTTGCAAGCCAATTTCTACACTAGTAGTAGATGAGAACACAAATTTCGAAGGTTTGTCATCATTCCATCTGATAATCTAAAAGAGATCACATAAACTTAAATCCATGTTTTGTGATAAATAGAGGAGATGATCAAAGGCCTCACTCAATTACCTTGGGAACGTGTGGATGTTAGCTTTCACAAGAGCAAGCAACGTTATGTGGCTCATAATACCATTCAGGCAAGTTTTGATATACGAAACCTTGTGTGTTGAAGAGTTCATGTTCCTCATTCTCGGTTCAACCATCATACAATCATGTCCCTATCCATCATATTTACATAACGATTCTCATTTCCAGGTGAAGACCTACTGGTTGAATTCCGATGGCACAGATGTTGTGTTTCACATGATAGATAACTTTCGCCTCTAGACCTGAAGAGTTCCAAGTTTTCAATTTCCTTCGGGTGGATAAGCATTCAAAATTTCACCATTTGGTCATATTCTATTGTGTGCTTTATGTTGTATGGAATGTGTGGAGTTTGATTACGTATATGGTTATAGTTGATATGTGTGCTTTTTTTTTCTCTTGTAGTTATTTTTTTTCTCGGGTAGATAACGGTCTCACTACCCTACAATTTTTTTTTTAATCTTTGTCACTTGTAGAAACAATAGAGAGTGGCCAGCTCATGTGTTTGAACTTGTCGTGTACTACTACTCTTTTGGCAAAACCAATTACAAGGGTATCTAATGTTCACTTTTACACCAGAGGCAAACTATATTTGCTTTTTCTTTTGGTGCTTTGCTTTGATGTCATAGATCCTATGTGACTGTGCTGCCGCGGAGTGCCTCTTGCATGTTATATATCAAGCACCGCTTCATTTTCATTGAGGATCCTTCATGATCTATGTACCTGGTAAGTGGGGAATGTAAATCTGATTATCCAGCTAATGATCAGCCCCAAGCCCCCTTTCTTTTCTTTTTTATTTCCTCTGTCTTTGCCCTGTGGAATTTGCCTGATGGGAAGGGACCACAGTCCACAAGTTTTATAACTGTAGTGCTATAATATATTTTGGTAGTTTTGTTGAGTTTCTGCCCAAGTGACTTGCTAGTCGTCATGTTCTCGTGACGATGTTTCTGTTTGCTCTGTTAATATACTTGACAAGCTTTGGTAGAACTGTCCATGAAAAGCCTAGTATCAACCTGAGTGAATAACCAAATATAAAACGATAGTGTAATTGAAGGGATTATTATTTGTACCTCAGCGAACATTGTTAGCTCTCCTGCGGATTTTGATATTTCTATGACACAGTTGGTTGGAGTTACTTCAATCACCTCTGCTGATAAGTCACAACAAGATCTAGGAGATCTCACTGTCTTCTCTTTTTGGTGAATTTTCATCTGGTACATTCAAGTAAGATTGTTAGTGCCCTTTTGCCTATGTGAGTTTCTTTCTTCTTGCTTGTTATACTGGAGAATACACATACCTTGAAGTGTTTTAATCTTTGAACTGACAGGTTAACATCAGTTGCTGCAGCTTCAATTTTCTTGATTGTATCTTGTGCTGTGTGCTTGGACCCTAGCCTTTTTCTATATTTCTTGTCATCCTGAGAGAATTAAGCAGCTTTCAATATAAGATATTGGCAATGAGTTAAAATACAAACGTTTATTCAAGCTTTTGAGTTTGAACATATTTGCCTGTTCTTCGAAAAGACCTGACAAATCGAGATCGCTAGACATTGCTATCAGCTGAAATGCATTTATGAAACTTGATGATGCAGGTGCATTTCTCTCTGTAGCATTTCCCTGCTGACCATTTTAGGTTTTCAGCTAAAGTGATAGTGCCTTAAGCTTGAATGTTACTCCTTTCTTAAGAGGTGAACTTACCTGATTTGACTCGTAAGCTGCAGAGAATTTATCTTGGCATTCGTATCCATAAGTCGGAGCATAATTTATCCTAAACCAGGAGTCTTGGAAGATTTCAGGTATTGTTATACGCTGCAATGATTTTGTTCAGACATTTTCATGCATAACCGTTGAATCTGTAGGAAGTTTAGAGAGATGTGAATGTTTGCAGATCATGTACCTTTTGAGGATTTGGATCAAGGATCCTATAAATTAGTTTTATGTGGCTTTCGGTGAACCATGGTGGGTATGTGAAGTCGGCCCTGAGTATCTATACGGACATATGACTCAGGAGGAGACCGAAGAACTTCCAATATCAGCCATAACAAAATTGCAGGTTTCAAGGAAATGGAATGTACCTTTTTATACAGAACCACAAGAGCTTGATCATCAAATGGAGGATAACCCGCGAGAAGTTCAAAAAGGATCACTCCACAAGACCAGACATCAACAGCTGCTCCGCTGTAGCTCTTGTTTAGAAGCAACTGTTTCAACAATTTTGCATGAGTTATTGCAGGCAGGTATGTTTTTGAGTTTTATACATAAGAAAACGTTGTCATGAGCAGTGATGTTACCTCAGGTGCTAAATAACATGGCGACCCACAAGCTGTAGATAGCATGTCCCCTGACTAAAACATAACCAAACTTTATAAGGCTACACTTTCAAAGAATTTCATCTGTTAGAGAGAATCAGGTTTCAAGCATGTACCGTAGGCACTGCACTGAGTCCAAAGTCTGACACTTTCAGATTACCCTCAGCATCTAGTAGCAAGTTTTGTGGCTGCAAAGCATTTATTTCATGTGTGAGATTGTCGCATTATATGAAACAGGAACAAAAATGGTAAACATGCCTTAAGATCTCTGTGATAAACTCCTCTGTTATGGCAGTAATCAACCGCATCAATCAATTGGTGGAAAAGCTTTCTTGCTTCCGACTCTTTCAGCTTGTTCCGGTAAGCCTGCACAATGTGAGACCAAAAAGTGATTTTGTTTTTGTCTTGTCAGGGTTTTACGATTGCCATGCCTGAAGTGGCAGGTATGTCTTACAAGTTTGTCGGAAAGCTGACCACCTGGGACGTGTTCCATGACAATACAGATCTTGGTCTTGGTGCCTATCACCTGCGAATCAAAGATGATATTGGAAGAAGAGCAGAAGAAAACGCAGAGAGAGAAAGCGGCGATGGGAATTCAACCTCATGAATCCGGACGATGTGAGGGTGGCGAAGGAGCTTCATCGTCTGTATCTCTCTCTTAACCTGAGACTGAAGACCCTTGTGGACGACCAAAGACTTGTCGATGATTTTGATGGCCACGTAGGTTCCGGTGGTAGTGTCGACTGCCATTTTTACTTTGGCGAAAGTCCCTTCCCCAATGGTGCGTCCCAGCTTGTACTTTCCCATCTGCTTTGTGGTGAAGAAACCCATCACTCTCTCTCTCTGGATCGGGAAAGGTCAGAATTCGTGTGGGAAACGGGCTTCTTCTTAACTAACCACAACTCATGAGTCTCGTGTTTAATATAAAAACACCTCCCTCTCTGTGTTATCTGTTCTTAATTTAATGGCCTTTAATCTCTGGGGGGGATGGTGTATTGGCCCACGCTGTTTGACTTTTAGAAGGATGACGAGAAGAGTAGAAACTGAGCAAAGCCGTGTTTTGAATGCAGGGGGGGATTTCGTAACGAGTTTGACCGTTGGCTCGTGGTGTGCAGCTGAAGAACGTCTCCTCCTCCCTCTGAAGCGTAGATAAGAATATTTAACTCTTTTCTTTCTTTTGTACGTGCGCCTTAGGTAGACACAGATGGCTTTATATTCTATTAAGAAAGCTAAGAAAATAAAAATAAAATAAATGGTCTTTTTTTTATTAATTTTTTGGGGTGGGGGTTACGTGTCCATTTGAGCTTCATAAAACTAACATATATATAAAGATGGTTTCGGATAGGATAATGTGACGATGACCACTCATAATGATCTTCTTCCTTATGGAGACGCATCAGACGAACAGCTTCCGCATAAATATCTCCGAAACACATTGTGGGTATGGTAGTGCAATTATTTGAAGAGTTGGAGATAAAGTAAAAAACTTGAAGAGTTGGAGATAGAAACGAGATGTTGGAGATAGAGGCGATATCGGAGCAAATTCGAGAGGAGGTTATCAGATCAATTCATGGAAATCTAGGACAAACAAGAGAAACCTATATAAAGAGACACAAGTGCATATCGGTTCTACACAGAGAACAATATATATTTTACTTAAGAAAGTTTTTCTATTAGTGAGTGTGCTATATAGAGAACAAAACATATTTTACTTAAAGAGAGATTTTCTATTAGTGAATGTGTATCGGAGATCTATTGGAAAAATCTTCATTCTTCTGGTGAGAGTTTTATGTGAGGTTTTTTATTAGTAGAACTTATTCTGAGAGGGATGAAATTTAGAGAGAGTTTCGTCTGTGTGTTGAATGCAATTCTAACAAATGAGTTGTAGTTGACAGATTTTTCAAGTGAATATGACTGATTAGTTTTTTCGTTTACCCTATGAGAATTCGATTTTTTTAGAATATAACTAAAATTTTGTTGGATTATAATTTTTTTAATTTCGATATTTCTTCAAATCTTACTGAAAAAAAGACTGAAATTAGATTGTCAGAGATCTTCTTTAAATTTTTTTAAATTTTATTTTAAAAATCCATCAACTTTTAATTTTTTTTAAAATCATGTATTTTATGTTATTTTAAAAATATAGTTTATTTTCTTATATAATCACTTTATATACAAATTATACACTATATGATATTTTATTTACCAAAAAATTATTTAAAACACATGTCGATGATTAACATATCAAACATTAATTAATAAAAAATATTATCAAATTTTTATATACAGTTATAAAATTAATTGATAAAATATACTTAATTTCAAATATAAAACGTATACACAATTTACTATAAATGCATGACATATATAAATTATATAATTATAAATATCATAATAAAAACCTAATATTTATACAATTTTTTGTAAGTTATATATATGGTTTATGGTAGTTTTTTCAAAAACGTTTGACAAATTTTTATAATAAAAGTTGATTGTTTTTCCTGCAAATAGTTGATTGTTTTTAGTTTATTCTCTTTAAATTTTATATGCATTAAAATTGGCCAATTTGTAAAAAAAAAATAGTGAATGGGTTTAAAGCCCAATAAATTTGTTTGGAAGGGCCACAAACTGTTTTATTTGTAACCAGTAGCAGATATCAGAGTCCATTGTACAAATCATAACTTGTAGAGTTCATGTAAAGATACGGCAGGTCGCACTGATTATTAAATTCCATAGGAGTGAGTGATGCGTCAATCATATACATATGCATACTCTCGAAATGAAGGCCGGAGTGGGCATGCTGGCATTTGGCAAAGGTCACCTCCACCACTTCCTTTTAAGCTTATTTTGCATTTCTTTGGTTGCTTCCACCAAATCCAGTAAATATTAATTTACCTTATCATAATATATGTGTGTGTAATGGCCACAGAATCATGACAACTAAGGAGCCGTGATAATGATAATAAAATAAATAGGCCATGCATTCCTAAATTATATCTATCAATAACGGCAACACGGCCACAAATGCACATGCCATTCTCATTCCCCTTCCCGAAGTTATAATATCCACGCATGGATCTAAACATTGGTTAGATAACAAACATATAAAGATTAGATTGAATTAATGATTATCACTTTTGGCCATTATGCAAGGATTGAGATGCGGTCAAATCGAGTGAGCAGTCAATGCCCACAAACCAAACAAATAACCTTTTCGAAGTGCCATCAAATTATGGACCCCTTTCCTGTATCATGTCGGAGCAAGATTTCTCATTAAATAATTATTACATGCCTTGGCAGTCATATATATATATATATATATATATATATGAAATATTAATAAGAAAAAATCGACATATAGAGCCATTTATGCAATTCCAAAAAATAATTATAACATTCCACCTACAAACGAGAAAGAAAAAGAAAATCCAAAGATAAGTCTATGGCATTTTTTGTTGTAACCCAAAAACAATTATAACACACTAATGTGATATTTTTTTTCATCACAATTATTTAAGATTGTATGATATGACAAGTGAGGATATAAATAAGGAATAGTTGGAATATGAACTAATCACGCCAAACTAGTGTCTAGTGATTCTAAATCGAGGTCAGGACGATAGCAAATCCAAGCCGAATGCCGTATCCGACAAGTTGAGAGAGAGAGCATTCCTAAATTATCAACATATGAACACAAAGGATATATATATATATATAAATAAATAATATGTAAGATTAAAAAGTAGAAAAACCGAAATAAGTAAATATTTAAAAGGGTCGAAGGCTTTTTTAAGTTTCTTAAAATAGAAACTAAAACCTAAATCATGCCGACCCTTTTGTCTCCATTCCAATCCCCCCCCGCCTCATCGGCTTTCAGTTTTTTTTTTTTTTTTTACATTATTTTTCTTAAATTTCATGTTACAACTACTTATTATTAGCACTGTGAAAATGAGATCCATCAAGGAAAATACTAATAGTTTGACAAACCTTTCCTTATCTGCCATTTTTTTTACCATATTTATCTGTAAACTTATAAACTCAATCTGGAATTTGTATATGTACATACAAAAAAAATCTTTAACGAAGAATAAAATGATGAAAAAAAATTAAGATAATAATATTTTTAATAGAAAATCAAGATACTCAAGCAACAAATAAAACCTTGAGGATATTTATTATTCCCAAAACCCAAACGGTGAGCCTAATTTTAAGGGGGGAAAAATGTTGGCAAGTCAAATTAGTATGTAGAAGCATTATTACAAGCGAATTATTCGGGTGGATGTTGTTGAACCACGCGTCGAGATTTGATTCGTTGACGGATCCTAACTGGACTCCACATATCGCCTCAGCAAATCAAATACCCGACTCTTACACAGCTCCGTTTTTTAGCTCCCAAAACACAAATAACAGAGAGAGAGAGAGAAGCGATGGGAATCGAGCTTGATCACGCCAAGGGAATGCCCGGCGATTGGCGCTCGGCGGCGCGTCCCTGCGACGGCTGCAAATCGGTCGCCGCCTCCGTGTTCTGCCGAGTCGACTCGGTGTTCCTTTGCATAGCGTGCGACTCGAGGATTTACTCGTCGTCGCGGCACGAGCGCGTGTGGGTGTGCCAAGTGTGCGAGCAGGCTCCCGCCGCCGTCACCTGCAAGGCCGACGCGGCCGCTCTCTGCGTCTCATGCGATTCCGACATCCACTCCGCCAACCCTCTCGCCAGCCGCCATGACCGTATCCCTGTCGAGCCCTTCTTCGACTCCGCCGTCGCTAAGTTATCCTCCTTCCTCGGCAACTTCACCTCTTCCGCTGCCGTCGATTTCCCCGCCACGACGGGCCATTCCGATGACCTTGGAGTGTGCCCGTGGCTGATCCCCTTCGATTTCAATGATAACAACAAAATTAACATCGACACAACTGCTGAAATGAAATCCTCTGACTTTGTTTTGTCCGATTTCGATCGATTGATCGGCTTTGAGTGCCCCAACTCGTTTCATCCGCCGCAGAACAGCGGTGGATCCGACAGCGTTGTCCCGGTTCAGACAAAACCCAGTCATGTCTCAGCGACTAACACCGATCACTGCTTCGACATAGACTTCTGCAGATCAAAGCTTTCCGCTCTCCGCTACCCGACTCAATCCACCAGCCACAGTGTAATTCCCCGCCAAATTCCGTCAATTTATTTTCTATATAGCTCTATGAATCAAAATCGAAATCTAAACCAAAAAATAGCTGGCCTTGGGAGAAATCGACTTGATTGAACGTATCGTATTTCAGGTATCGACGTCGTCCCTCGAGTTCGGCGTTGTCCCGGAAGGAAGCACCTCCCTGTCGGAAATTTCGATACCCTTTGGACGAAATGTGAACGGGGGGTCGACAGCAACTGCCGGCGATCCAAGCCCCTCATTGTCGGTAGGAACCACGAATCAGCAGATATGCGGTTCGGACAGGGAAGCTAGGGTTTCGAGGTACCGGGAGAAGCGGAAGAACAGGAAGTTCGAGAAGACGATTCGTTACGCCTCCAGGAAAGCCTACGCCGAATCGCGGCCGAGGATCAAAGGCCGCTTCGCCAAACGCACCGAAGCCGACAACGACAACGACATCGTTCTCGTCGGCCACGTGTACGCTTCCGCCGCCCAATACGGCGTCGTACCGTCGTTCTGATTCGGCGGTCGTGGTTCAATTATGCAATCCTACGTTGGAATGTTATGTTAAGGCGCGAGTTAAAATCTTCGGACAATATCAGCCGCTGATCCCGCGGGAGCATATTAATTATAATGAGCTTCACCGTAGAGGAACGTCTCATCCTCTTCTTCAGCTCCCAGCGGAAAAGGAGCCCGTTTACATTTTTTTTTTTTTTTTGTTTTACCTCACGGGCTGTTGCAAGCCCGTAACGTCTTTTTGGGTTTCCCCTGTTTTTACTATAACAACAAGTTGTGGAATTATAACCTGTAAAATCTATTTCTCCGTTTCTATTGGCAGACGTGTTGGGTTGTCGTTTGTTTGAATAATTAGCGGTCTTAGGTAGAATGTAAGCTTAATGCCAAGATTGTATATAAACAAAATAAATGAATAAATAAAACATTTAAGACGGATGTTTCAAATATAAACATAGGTACGTAACATCCTATCGGAGCACCAAAAAGTGGAACGAAATCTTGTGAAATGCATCTATCTGTTCAATTACAATTTAGAGGTCAACATCTCACGGTCAAACGTAAACGTAAGAATAGCGGTTTTCAACAGCATCGAAACTGTCTTCCCGCTTTGGAATCGAGTGTTTGTTAATGTTAGAACCATGGCAAATACGCAAAGGACTTTGGTACAAAAACTCAATGCGCGCTTGCATTTCTCCAAGAAAAGATCATATAAATGGATATCTAATCTATAAATGATTTTTCTTTTTGGAGGAAACGGACGATTTAGGGATCTAAAACCCATGTTATAATAAATGAATTCCGATATTTCTGGAACTTCCGCTCACCTCTGCCTTTTGGGTTTCTGTAGAGCCAATCTCTCTTTCCCATAGGATAATG